TCTCTGTCTAACTAAAGCATCCAGAGTCAGTTCTGTCGGAGCAGTGATAATTCGTCTTACTAAATGCACATAACTGTGGTCAAACTTGGATGTAACATAGACGAGAACAAGGAAAGCTGACCAACAAATTGGGCTATATAGCGAAGACATTCAAGCTGTCTTAAATCTCTCCTCTGTTCCTCTGTGTTTATTACGCATCATGTTGTTTCCTGTTACTAATAGTCCAATCGATCCCATTTGTGGTTGCCCACAGAGACACGCTCCCTGCACAAAATCAAGCTCTGAGCCGAGGTGATGAGAGAAAAGACACAGTGTGTAAGAATGTGTCGTTCCAAATTTCTGATGACATTATTCTTAATCACTGAGAGAAAGTCTCCCTAAACAAACCCTTCCAGTATGCACGACCGCTGAAACCTCATCCTGGTGTTTCTCAACAAAATGTTAACCTGGTGACAGCGCTCGAAATGCTTCACAGCGATGTTGTACGCGTAGCTATGCTGTGTTGTGTAATTCCCAGAGCCGGTGGTATCATCTAACGGTGAGCTCAGCATGAAGAAGTAGGAAGAGAGGTGAGGTAGGGTGAAAAGAAGAGACAAAGACAGGAGGAGGAAAGGATAATTTAACCTTGCTAAGGCTGCTGGGTAATATCTCTGCAGCTTGGAGACACTTTATGTAAGCAGCGGGGTGTAATCTGGAAAACAGCAAAGGAAAAGGAGGTCAGTGATGTATCTTCTTGCAGAGGAGGGACTGTGCAGCTCCTCAGAGGGGACACACACACACACACACACGTATAAGTGCAAAAGTCTCACGAAGAAACACATAGCTCAACAATGCAGCGATTCATCACAATTAAGCAGATGTAAACCTATACAGAGTGTAACCCTAACACCCAATCGATCAGAGAGCTGCCTGTTGTCTCCACTCTCCCACAGTTTAAATCTCTCCACTGAATAATGGAATATTACTCCAACATACACCTACAGTAAATCATCATATACACACACTGCCTGCTGTACAATTCATTCCCATTCAGTCTCCACTCTGTGATTTAAAGCGATTGCTTTAGCAGCGCAGCTATCCAGCACAGGTCTTCACCCACACACATTCACAGCAAGTAAATCCATCAGACAGCTTGGTGTTGTGTGTGGGATGTCTGAGACGCTGGGCATCAGACGTAAAGTTAATTTTTTGAGTTGATTTGAAAATGATTTGTGTGTCTGTTTAAATATCACATGATACATAGTAGCTTACCCTGTGTGCAGTATAGTAAAATCATTGACTTAACTGACTGTGCAGTTACAAGCATTATGATTTGATTTGATTCTTTATTTTCATGTCATGCACACAATGTGCCCAACCATCATGGGTTTACAAGACACCAGTAATTATAGTTGCAGTGGTCAATCATGTCATTACAAAATTACAAGTTATTTTACAACTTGGCCTCAAACAAAATATTCTGCGTTCTCTCCAAAGCTTGGCAAATAAAATCTGCTACAAAAAAGGTTCCCCTACAAGTTTTCATATTCCTCAGCCAAGAAAAATCTACATAAATGGATGTCATTTTACTAAATAAGTAAATTCCCTATGCCCTCACAGACCAGACAGTAAAACAAAAACTGAACCTCATTCACTCCAGAACCTGTTGCAACTCTACTTATAGCTTTTATTTGAATAATTATATCATGATAAATGAAGAATTCTGCAGTTTTTTCAGTTGATATTGCTTTTTATTTGTTCATTTTTAAGGGCTCTGCATCGTAGAGACAGATTAACAGCCGTTATGGTGCTGCCCTCCAACTATTTATGTATTTATTTGTTTAAAGAAAGGTATTCACACATCCATGTCTCAAATGCAGGTGCGTTTGAAAGTATCACTTAAGTCTTTGAACAGAAAATCCTGCAAATTGCTGTTACTCAGCTTCACAATTTATTAGTAACAGTAACATTTCTGTCCTCCTCAATGCTCATCAAGATTGTTTAACACCGTTTCCAACATTTTCAATTTCCAACATTGAGCTTAACCCTTTGAAAGTTGGAGCAACATCATTTTTCTCATGCTGCTTTCAGATGCCTTTTGCAAGTGTTTAAGCCTTAAAAGCCTGAGCAAAGCGGTGCGATTTCTTTCAAAAACATGGGAAAAGGGGCAATGAGCAACTTGGTAATACATGTCCCACAAATTGTAAAAAAACAAAACAAACAAAAAACTAAATTTTTAAAAATATTTTATGTTGGTTTTTCTAATTGCAAAAAAAAAGATTAAGAAAAGGTTTTGTTTTTTTTTTAGAAAAAATCTAGGTCATTATTATTATTATTATCATTATATTTCAAAATCATGTTATAGAATCTTTATGATTTTTAAGCACTCTTTCCATGTCATTTGTTTGTTTGTTTGTTTGTAACTTTCTTTACTTTCTTTTTACTAATTTTCTTGTTTTGTTTTGTTTTTTTTTTACTAATATCTTGCTAATTTTTTGGGTCATTTTTTCTATGGTCGCTGTATACCTTCTTTCCATGTTTTTAAAAGAAATCAAGCCAATTGGCTCTGGTTTCAAAGGGTTAAACAGAAACTGCTCCACCCATTTTACAGGTGTGTCCAGGTGCGAGGGAATTAATCAGCTGTTGGTGTGTTTCTGCTAGGCTGATGTGTTCAGTCTTAAGATCAACATTTTTTTTGTAAATAATCTTGTAAATAACATTTACTGCGTAAGGAGCTTGAGTTTTCTAATTATTTTCCTATGTTTTTTTGTTTTTGTTTTGGTCCCTTGTTTGTGGGATATGTGACATGTGGTGCACAGGCTGTTGTCAATTATTGAGAAACACACCCACAGCTGGTTGATTCTCTCACACCTGTGCACACCTGTGAAATGGTTGGGGCAGTTTCTAATCAGCTGTGGGTGTGTTTTATTCAATAACTGACAAATGTGATAAGTCTAACACTGACCAAGGACCTTGCTCCCAAAACAAGAAAACCTTATTAATCTTAAAAAAAATGAGAAGAGATCTTTTGAGCCAGATTTAGCTATTAGCTAATTTCCATCTACAGTCCCTGGGCAAGTACACACACACACACACACACACACACACACACACAGTTTTTTTAAGCCACTGTGTTGTTAAATGTATGATGTCTCTTGTGTTTAAAATGTTTTCATGTTGTTTTTCTGTGATGTTTTTTTTATGTGAAGCAGTGGACAGTGCACAAGATTAATCTCCCCTCTGGGACAATAAAGTTTACTCCAGCAATCTAACTCTGTGAGGTTTTATTGCCTCAGTTGCACACAATTCTTTATATGACACTGGTAGCTGATTTGACGGAAGCGTTCCTGCAACAGGCCGTCACACTTAAGCTGAGAGGGTGAAGGCAAAGGCCTCATCAAAACATCAAACTGCTTCCTGTGGACCCACCGGGGATGTGCTCCACTGTCACCGCAGGTCAAAGAAGAGGTGACCTTGCACTCCAATAACCAGCAGCAGATGAGCCGGCGCAAGGAAGACACCACGGGGGTCCAGGAAGTCACTCGGGAAGGAACATGTTTGGAGAGAGTGTTCTTTGGCAAGAGAGGGGGGTTTATTTTTGGGGCCTTGGCGACAACCCTGCTGCTTTCCTGTTTTCTTTTCTGAAGTAGGTCTCAGGTTGGCGGGGACAGATAAAACAGGAGAATAAAGACATTCCAGAGGACAACCCTTTCTTTTTTCACACCACGAAGGACTCAGATGGAAGCTCATTCATCTCATAGACTACTGAAAACAATAACCAGTGGCTGTTTTCCACAGGGGGAAAGCAATGTGACAGATTTTATTCATTTAACTATCCAGTGTGTGAACATTTCTGACCATTGTGAAAGATGTCATGGAAAAATTCAAAGAGACATGCCACATGAAGTGAATGACAATGATATTGGAAGCCAGTAGGTGGCAATCTTCTCACCAATCCTCCCCAAGCACCTGTGTCCCTCTGAATGAAGGGGCCACAGACTACAGGCTGTGGATAATTTCAGGGAGGTGGTAATGAAACTGTCGTGGCAGACACACGCCACTGTAAACAAACAGTGTCCATGCTGTCTCACAGTACAGAGCTGTATCAAATCTATGATAAAAATCTCAACAAAAAAAACCACATCTTATCAGATGGCAAAACACTTTGGCGAGGATTATGTGTCCAACATGTGGTACGGGGCATTTCTGAATGAGCTCCGGCTTGCTGGGAATCATGTCTGCCTACCATCACAATATCAGGCTGCGATCAGGCTTTAAATCACCCCTTCCCACTAAGCATGACATGCAAAGCCTAACTGAAAGTCCATTGGGCTCCTCTGGCATCAGTGAGACATTACATTCATATTGCTGATTTTATCAAAGTCCCCGCCATTGTTGTTTGCCTTGGGTCTATGTCTTTCATTTCCCCCCTCGGTCACAAGACTGATCCAAATTATTATTGTTGCGCTGAGGAGGAAATTAATAAATCTCTAAGGAGGAAATTAGAGTTCCAGACTGTGTGGGTTTGGTGTCATACATGCATGCACACAACTGTCTTTTTTTTTTTTTTTTTGCAAATGTATTGTGTGAATGGAACTTGACTGTAACTGTAAAGCTTCAAAAAATGCGTGGTTCTCTGCAAAAAGTGAGAAAATGTGGCCTGGAATGAAGTAAATATGTGCTACATCAGTTTGTAATCTCAAGTCTATGAGTCTTGCCTCAGTTAAAACCCATGCAGGTGAAAATACTACACAAATATGTCCACTTTCCCCAGCCACAGAGTGGGGAGTTTTCACTGGGGACCTCTGTACTGAGGACCCATAATTCTGAATGATTAACCAAGTCTGTGAACTCTGCGTAAAAGGCATTTCCTCATGCACATTGGCCAACATTTCTCATTGTCAACAAACAAACGGTCACACGAGTTGAGCAAGACCTCATGCACAGAGCAGGCACCGCGGCTTACAGATGCTGAGAGAGCAGCGCTGTGATTGGTCCGCCGCGGTGGGTGTTTCCGCATTCCGCAGAGAGCTGTCAGCCGAAGCGCGAGTTGAAGAGGGGGGACCGTCGCGTCTGTGCAGAGCAGAGACGTCCTTATTCAATCCCAGAGGAATAGCAGCCCGTCGCCAGGGGAGCAGGGATGCCTTACATGTTCATCAGCACGCAGATCCGACTGGTGTGTATCTCGCATCTGTGAAAATGACTCGTGTCGTGCTTTTAGAAGAAAAAAAAAGACGCGCTCGAGTTTGGGGATTTGTTTATTTGGCAGAGCAACACAGCGCATACGACTAATCAATCAGGGTCGCCACTTGCAGATTAGAGTCATGCAGTGGCCTGTAATATTCTGCATGCTGGAAAACAACAAACAGTCAAGGCTACAAGCGGAGCAAGCAACGTGCGTATGGTTGTTTTTGTGCCACGGTGCCCTAAATGAAAAACACATGTTGCCCAGTTGTCGGCCTCTTGTTGCGTATGTTCACTTTGTTGTCTGCACGACTCGAGCAACCTAATTCTACAGCCTCTGAGTATCTGATGATCTATTTATAGTCTGCCCAGTTATTAGAGATTATGATCCGCACCTGCCAGAGGGATGCAGGTGTAGCCAGCGCAATGCAGCCAGAGCTGCACCAATAACAGTTGTAGAAAAACATTCCTCAATCAATCCTGTGCAGACTATCAGTTGTATAGTTAATGTGCTTGATTCCTTACAGGAGAACGGTCCAACAAATGTGGGAGATGAATATTCGGATCCAGCTGTGATGAATTACCTGGGAGCAAGGAAAACAACCATGCTGGGAAACAATTTGTGAGTATTGAAAGTGGGCACTGTCAGTTGTTTTAGAGAGTGGACACAAAGTAAACGTGGCAGGTGACTGGGTGATATCTGAGGATAGGAAGTAAACAGAGAGATTTGTAGGCACAGTTTTGGCCACAAAAGCACCAAGACTTAAATGTCCCTCCTGAATTGATATTTTTCATGTAAGCATATCCATCACCTTCTCAAAACCAGGGAAAGGTATACTGTACTAGCTCAAATGCACACACATGCAGAATGGACTCCCAGGTGTACTGTAAATGTGCTCACACCGGGCCGTATTTCCATATTTAGGCACTTAACACTGGTGTTTCTTTCATTTTGGCAGTTAACGTGTACATATTGACGACAGAGCTGAGATCAGGTCACATGGAAAAAAAAACCCCCCAATGTGGTCGAGGAAGGCTGCTGCTTTGCAGATTTAGAATAAACCATTCAAGCTGATGGAATACAGATCAGGGAAGTGTTGTCATTGGCAATCTGATTCTAATGCTGCTGGGAAATGAACCAAGGTGTGGAAGGAAGCGAACAAGCACCAGAACAATTAACAGCATTCTGCTCTCCAAGCAAAGTTTACTGAAAGAGAGAGAAATCCCACATCTGTGGAAAAGGGAGGATGACTTTGTTGTTTATGCTCATGCAGTTCCGAGTACCATGTGGACGACCCGCCGCGCCTGGTGCTGGACAAGCTGGAGAAGATCGGCTTCCGCGTGCTGACGATGACGGGGGTGGGACAGACGCTCGTGTGGTGCCTCCACAAAGAGACGGAGTGATCGATCACGGAGTGTAGACTGTAGCAAGACTCCTCTGCAAGCCTTTGAAAGCATGAATGAATCCTGCTGAAGAACTTGTAGAAACTTAAGTTCTCCGCTCTACATTCAACACACTGACAGCTACAGAATCCACTTTGAGATTATCCCAGACATAAGGTTTCAGATTACCTTCAATAGGTGACAGGTCACCAATTTCAGGGCAATACTGAACTACATTCCAGAGATTTTATAAGGCCCGTATTGTTTGCTATTTACTACTGGTGACCAAGTGGGAGTGCAGGGAGTGAGGGCTAGTTTTACTGTTAATATATCAGCAATGGCAGTAAAACTTAATTAAAGGCATGTCTGTAAATTCAGCCTGTGCAAAAGGCCTCACCCAGTTCTTCATCTCTTCCGTCCAATAAATAAAACATGATGCTCGATAGGTTTGTTCCTACAGCACTGTGTAAAGATGTTTTTCTAAGTGTATCATATGCTCATGATTAAATGATGTAATGTGGATTTATTGTGTACTTATTAATAAAAGACAAAATGGCAATACTTCTGGGAGGATGCATCTTTCTGATAATCCATAAAACAGACACTTATCAAACATTGATATATGAATAAATGAAATTAGTGTGACCCCTGCAGCTCTGTGGCATCTTATGGGGATGCTGCATGTCCCAAGATGAGGCACTAGCACCGCAGGCACACAGAGTGCAGCAGTCAGCCTGCGAGAGCCAAAAAACGCTGGGTGGTTTCAGCACAGCCCCAGGTCTGCCAGCACATGTCTGGCCAGCCCGGATCACTAACCCGCAAACCAGAAACTTTGCCAGCCAGCTCACAGCCAAACTCTTACCAGTCCTGCTGTCTCACACATGACTTAGCTTCCACCTCCGCACCAAAGATCAAAAGATGTTGGTGCTTCCCAGTTCTGTGACCGCGGAGATTCCACATGCTGTTTGCATACACCGATGTGACAGCTTCGCCTCGGACAATATAAGGAAAACGGGGCGGAAGAAGATACTATGAGGATTCCAAGGCTGTGCTGTAATTGTTGATAGGACAGAGCATTCAACAGGCTCATCTTCCCATCCTGGTTCGCATGCAGCACAAGCCACTGTGGGCTCAGGGCAGGGTTGGTGGTGAATGTGTTTCCTGTAATTGTATTTCCTCTGTTGTCATTTGGACAGAGTTTGTGTGTTTCTGGGCTTTTTTTCACATTGCCGGGATATGAAAAAGGCTACGCATAAACAAAACCATGTGATGAGGGGATTTTGCAGGAGGAGAGGAGCAGATGTCTCCCACCACACCACTCCACTCCACAGCTGGACATTGTGTAACAGAGCCACGGCGAGGCGGCGCAGGAGTGGTAGAGAGATGGATGACTGCGCTGGATGTTGCGAAGCTGCCATGTGGCTCCTAAATAACACAATGACAGGAGAAAGCGCCGCCACACAGATACAGACACAGCATTACGCCATAGTCCCCCTTGGGACGGGGAAATAAGACTGTTTGGATGGATAGATGTTCCACGGGCATAAGACCTTGTTACAAAACTCAGGGTGACCGCAAAAGTTTGGCACTCTAACATCTGACTTAATGTGGGTCACAGAGCGGTAGCGTGTCACTTCAGAGAACGTACATAAGGAATACAGAGTTTCTCCTAGGTATCTGTTACATAAGCCGATTGTGAAACAGCTTAGAACAATAATAGCTTAACTTAGAAAGACATGTTGAAGTCAGTATCAGTGGACAGGACACAGACAACTTTTGAAGCAAGTGGCATCTTCTTAAATTTAAGATGTTGCATGATCCATCAGGTCCGAGAGTGAAGTGTGAAAAATGCCCCAAAAATAAGCACATCTAATGCTGCAAAATCTTGGCTTTTCATATTCTGGCAATATCATGCGTGAAGGAAAAATGGATGTATTGTTCATGCTTTGTGTAGCAGTTATCACACAGTATAAATTGTTCAAAAAACGATTTCATGGCTCCACAATGAACTCCCTTCACTTTGTGATTAAAGCAATAGTTCTTTGCTGAATTGCTGAGAGTCAGATGAGAGGATCGATACTACTCTTATGTGTGTCCGTTCAATTTTAAGCTGCAGCCAGATGCAGTTGTATGGAGGGGTTGTGTGCCAGACAATTTCTTGGCCAGCAGCAGTGACTTCCAGGAGTCTACGCCGGTTGCCTGGCAACTTTACGGTGACAACAAGACTCCAGTAAGTCTCCTCTCCTTGCCAAGGAAAAGTTCAGTACCTCACCCCTGTCAAACCACAACGTGTTGTTTTTATAGTTTGGTTGTTTAACAGATTAAACAAACCAGACAGGACGTATTAATTAGTGATCTGTAAAGTTGCTGGTACTGAAGGTGGATTTGTTTTTTAACCCTCGGACAGAGCCAAGCTAGATAACACAAGAGTGGTATCCATCTTCTCGTCTCACTCTCAGCAATGAAGTGAATAAGCAAGTTTCCAAACATGCCAAACTATTCCTTTAAATATATATTGTGCAGGATTATCCTAAAAAAAACAATGTATAGATTCATACAGAGGTAAGTCATCCCATCATCATCATCATCATCATCATCATCTGTGTTCGAGGATGTTCATGAGCATGTACCCTGAAAGTGCTCAGATGAGGTCAGGGCTTTATAAAAAAAAATCAGCAACCACGTGCCAGACCGTAAGCAGCAGGCATCCAAGAGACACAAATATAGTGAAGCGAAACCCTAAACGAAAGTGAATCTGATGTTGGCTTTGACCTTAAATTCGCTGGCAAGCAGGTTTATAAAACAGTAACCAACAATCCTACATATTATACCTTTAAGTAAACATATCTGCAGAAAGTTTTGCACAACAGTTCGCCTCGGAATAACTAAAGTTTTATCTTATCTTAATTTAAAAAATGTTACACATGACAATATTTAGTCACTAAAAGAGCCTTTTCTCTGTCAGATATTCATGATCTACTACAGGGGCTCCCAAAAAGTTTGGCTTGCGACTCCTTAAAATGAAGCCATGCCTACTTGCTACCCTCTAATGACAGAGTATGTGATTAGCGTGGTCATCCGTTATGAGCAGTTAAACCAAAGAATGCTGTACTAAAGTTGCAGCATCCAGTATTTCACAAGAAAAAAGAGGGAAAAAAGTCAGAAATAAACATTTTTTGTACAAATATATTTTCCTTTCTTATCCATTTAATAATTAGCTGACCCTTTAGATTTATTCTGGGACCCCCAGATTGAGAACCACTAATCTACGTGATTTTGAACAGTATTATAAAATAAGTAGTTTGCACAGAGATTACATACAAACCTCAGAACACAAACCCCAGAGCTGATTGAATAACATTGTGCAGTTCTGAGTTGTGCAATCTACAAAGTCTCTTTACACTGGAGTAGGGTGTTAGATATGTTGTATACAAAGCCCAGAGAACAATCATCTCAACCACCGGGTCGTCAGAGTATGTTCACTCTTCATCACGAGGCCACAAGTATTCCCACAAAAACCTACCTAGTGTTCCTATCTCAGCCTGATTACTAGTTCGACATGCACGTAGTCACATCGTGCGGTCTGCGGTTTGGATCGCTGCAACACTCGACTCACTTCACAGCGTTACTGGACGTGTACATAGACAACAAAAGAGGAGGATTACACACCGTTGGCTGTAACAGTGAAGTAATGAGTTATCACATTTAACCAGACAGATGCAAATTACATCATCATTCAAAGGTTTGATAACGTGTGGTGCTGCACGGCTGGCCAATCTGCTCTGGCTCCTTGACAACATGATGAGCAAAAACTCACTGGATGACTTAGAGCTCGAATAATTCACCAACTGTTTTATTAGTGCTCAGGCCTGGTGTATTGATTAGAGGTACTACAGTATGATATTATAATGATGTATCTACTAGGAAGCAATATTTTTATGTCTGTTCATCTCAGTTCATTGCAGCAAACTAAATCCACAGGCTATATTATGTATCCACAGGCTATATTATGTATCCATCTGAACCAGAAGGAACTGCCAACACGCTGAAGGCATGCACTCTTTATATAAGCAAAAGGTCCGATCTGCAATTAAAATATTGATCAATAATATGCCACCAAAATATCATTGATGTACACACACTGATACAACATGGTTACAGTAATGATTCCTCCCTGCAGCCTGAGTGTCAGGACTCCTACCTCTCCATCCACACTGCAGCAGCCCTCACTTCTTCTCTACTCTGTCTCTCCCTCAGTCATCCTACATTCTTAATAAAGGGAAAAGACATAACACACTGATTAAAACCACAGAAATGAAAAAAAGTTTCTCTGTAGTTATTAAAAAGATTTATTTTGCCACATGGTGTATAACATACAAAAAGTAATAACAAAACACATAAGAGGCTTTATGAAACTAAAGCCTGAGACAGGTATTCATTTAATAACTGCAGGCGGGTACCGAGCAGAGTCCCACTGTGCTATGACCTGGAAGCCTCCTCGTCGTCCTCTCTCTGCATTTGTTCTATGAGCCTCTGTCGCTCGGCGGCCTGCCTCATCCTCATCATCACCACACTCTCATAGTCGCGCTCGTTTGACAGGGAGCCCTGTAAGAGAGAGGGAAAGACAAAGAGGTTATTGAAACATGGAAAATGTTACAAAGTCTGATCTGAAAGCACATATTATAATCTTTAATCCCAATCTGTGTGATTTCTGTCTGTTAATACAAACAAAATGAGGCAGTAATGTTAGTATTAAAGTCTAAGTATTCATACATTTTCTAAAAAAAGATTCACAAACAAAAAGATTAATCAGCAGATCAGCAGAATATTTTCTACACTTTTGAGTTTTGAGAATCGATTGATCATGCAGGTCAGTTTTTAAGCAAAATACATTTTACATAATTGGAAACTGAATATTTTTTGGCTGGACAAAACAAACAATTGAAAACATGAGCTTGGGTTAAAGGGGCCATTTTTTTTATTTTCTGACATTTTATGGACCAACAAATCACACACACACACACACACACACACATAATAAAATAAAATAAAATATATATTCTTTTTTTGTTGCTGTTATTTAGGATTGGGCGAATGTATTGGCTATGGGCTGAGTATATCATGACTTGTTTTTTTTGAGGAGGAGATTTCTGTCATTTTATTTTGCTAATTAAGCCTCCAAAGAATGAGTTACAGCCGTGAGCTGAATTATGTGTGTTTAACGATGAGTTTACAAGGCAATTAAACTCGTCTTGGTTTGGCGAAGGAAAGAAACGTGAATTCAGAATGTGTTCAGTTGGATTTTTCAGTTTAATGAGGAAAATGTGTGTTTGTTGACATTTTTGTGAGTTTAAGGAGTTAAATTATTAGACTAAAAAAGCTAAGAGAGCTTGTGGAGCAAACTGACCACTTGAACATATCTCCAAGCTGAAACTGGGAAGTAGGGTGTGGCACACACACACTTGAATGTAAAGGCAATCGCCAGTTGTTGAACCCTAATATCTATGAAAAATTGGCCTTTTCTTGAACGGGCACTCCAGCAATTAATTACGGCACTTCCA